GTATGTGGTGGTGTTTGTATATAAGCAAGTCTTCCCCTACCAAGTGCATATTTGGGGTTTGCATGTTCTCCCCGTGGTCGCGTGGATTTTTGTTTTTACCCTGGGTCCTCCGGTTTTGCTCTCCACATTTAGAAGCATGCATTGAGATTATTTTGGTGCTATAAATGTGTCATAACTGTACTGGTCATGTATGGTGGGCGGGACTTGCGAAGTCACGGCCAGTGATGTTGTCATTACGGGCAGCCCGGGTTGCAGGCTGCAGTGGTTGTGTGAGTGCGGGTGAACATGAAGGCACCACGAGCAGCGTGCAGTGCCGCCTCCCAGTGAGGGAGAGAGAGTGATCATCAGCCAGCCAGGCTTACGCTGGGGCATGATACTCTTGCTGACCTGTTGTCACGTGACCGGACGATAATGGAGGGGGGGCCACCGATGGACGGGGGGCCGAGGAGCGGTTACGTGGTCCCGGAGAGCTCTCGGGAACGTTCGAGAAGAGGCCTGAAGAGCCTGGAAGGTGGGGGGGCTAAGGAAGGAGCCAGCCTCTGCCCGGGGGCATATAATGAGAGCTCCAGAAGGCGCTCGGGGTTCTTCAAGTGTTGGTGTGCAAAAATCCACCACGACCAGAAGAAGCCTCTAGCCACGTAGTCCAGAACCCAGTTTGTGGTCCGGACCGGGATAGCGAACCGTGTCTAGTTCTGCCGTACCGTGGCTAGATGGGCATTCGAGACCCGAGCGTAGGTTTTGTTATGTTGGCCCTGTTGTGTTAAATAAACAGTGTTGCTCCCTAGTTAATGTCTGCGATTCGGTTGGACTCACTACAAATGTATAGTTCCATTGCGGGATGTCACTGTGTGATGCCTGCCCTAGAGAGTCATGGCGTGCGATGTATTGACATGGCAGACACCACTTGGATGTGGGTGCAGTACCAGCCCGAGAGGGGCTCGGTGAGCGCTGACTGACAGTGCTGGATGGCACCACGCTCTGCGTGCAGTGCCGGCCCCTAAAGGATAGAGTGCGGAAGTGCCGGCTATGGAAATGGGGTTACTAAAGGCCATGGCACTCTGGTTGACCCCAGAGGACTCGTGACCGGTTAAGTCCACACAGGGCCCCCAAGTGGGGGCTACGGGAGGTCACGTGTCAGGGTCGAGATCCTGCTCGAAGATTCTAGAAGGTGGTCGTGGCTAAGGGCGGAACCAGCCACGCCACAGAGGGACCGGCTGCTGTTCATCCTCAATAAATCTATGTTCTACGTTCTACGTCCTACAGTCTCCAACACGTGGACCTTAACTCAAGCTGTGGTCCGGTCCATTGTAGCTAGTTACGGTGTAATTAGTGTAGTTAGCCTGTTGGACACCACCATAGGTTGTTATTCTGTTAAGGGGCAGTTACCCCGTGTGTTGGTGTTAATAAATGTGTTTCCTCCAAAGAGTACGTCTGCGACTCAGTTGAACTCATTACACATGTACAAATAATAAACCACTTTGTTGAGCTATCACTTGTGGCCAGGTCGCTTCTGGGCTTTGCCTGGTCGGATGGGGATGTTTTAGTTGAATTTGTATGTTTTTGGGTGATTCTTGTACTTTGCATTACTATGTTTTGCCCCTACTTGAAACCTGTCAAAAATAGCTTTATAGCCGTTTAAAAAAAAATGGGATTTGCACATAATCAAAATCAAACATATACACGATTTTTAAAAAGGCTGAAGTGATGGTATTAGTCGTGCAGTGAGGCACTTAACAGGTGGCCCACGAGAAGGCTACCATCTGCCACCCAGTTTTTTGGAAGTCAGTGCCGACCATCCGATGACCACTGTGTATAATTCCCATTGAGTAAATTCATGATCAAGATACGATATCGGTCTGCAATCCTGATACAATTGTGGAAACAAGAAAGGAAATGACAGAAATGGTTAGAAGATTAAGAAGATTAAAAATGAAAATACTTGTTAAAGGCTTCCAGGACAAATATGGGGAACCAAATCGAGGCATTTTATTTTTTCATCATAAAACCATGACACCACTTTCTATCATGTTTTACTATATTGCCACGTGTAATTTGCCATTCTTTATTGGTTTCCAAATGTTGTAAATCTCAACTCACATTGCGCGGCCCACACGAGCGACGGTTAAAGCGGAGGCAATCAGCACGGTGTTCCTACCACTAAGAAGACACACACAGACGGTATGACATAGCAGCTAATAGAGTTGTAGCCCCATGCACATCGGTCAGACTAGCAATGCATTTAATATAGATACACATGCGCTAGAACAATGTGATGCACTGTGCATTGAATACACCCGAAGATATATTACATTTACGATATAGCATGTAAAAATAACAATAGGTTTTACCCTAAGTGTTGTTAAGATGTTCAAACACCAACATAGATACCTTTTTTAATCTCATGTAATTAAGTTGTCACAACCGGAGTGAATTATTCTGCATAGTTATTAGCTGATAAAACCACGGATGGGACGAGAGACAAACATAAGCGTTTCACAGGTTTATTATTTTAAGAGTTTAATAAGCCAAACACCCAACAATATCGAGGAAAACCAAAACAATCGAACAACATGCCAATAAATATTCGAACATTATAAGAATAATCAAAGGTACCACAAAAGTACTTTCCATAGAGGATTAATGTTTCACACAAGTTGTACAAGAAGGCGTTCACACAAAGGAATAATTATATTACGTTCAGTGAATGGGGTTTTTAGTTACGTCGCCCTTGCAGCACCCAAAGACAGAGATCCCCAGTATAGCCTATACCAGATTGTTGGGGCAAGTGCTGTTAGCGACCACCTATGAAGGCAGGCATGGCACACAAGGGGGTGGATGGCCAACACCACGTCCGGCCGCCTTTGTCTCCTCAGTGGCACCAGGTACTCATTTAAGGCTGAGTCAACCTAGGGGAGGCCCAGGACCTGTTCAGATAATCGTCAATGGTGTTGACCGTGAGCGGGAATCGAACTCTGGTCGCTGGGTTCCGAGCACAGCGCACAAACCGCTCTACGACTGCTTCCCACTCACCACCCAAACACACACCGTATAATTTTTGTTATTTATAGTGGCATGGTTTTTTTCCCGCTCACCACCAACCATCACCATTACCAACTCATCTGTTCTTCTTCTTGGTTCTTTCGGTAAAGTCACGTAGAAGGGAAGTAATAAAATAATAAAAATAAAACATAATAAAATAATTCTCACGACGTTTCGGCCAAAACCCAATCAGCCGTCCTCAGGTGAAAACCAGGTCTGTCGAGGCGACAGCGTCTGAATGAAACAGCACACGTGCTTGGAGCATATATATAAGCTGGGTTGGAAGGGGGGGAAAGGGCGCCTTAACAAAATAATTTGCATATCAAGATGAATTTATCACATTTATGGGAAATGCAGGTATGTGATTAGTACTACTTATGCACGTGCATTATGCATGATTAGCAGCATCAAAGGGAGGGGATATGGGAAATGCAGGTATGTGATTAGTACTACTTATGCCCGTGCATTATGCAGGATTAGCAGCATCAAAGAGAGGGGATAGGGGTAGCATTAATAAAGGGAAGGAGTGTTAATAGTATGTAGCTGCAGTAACTAAAATCACCACGTGAATAACTAAAGTATAAACTACATAGTATCATCAGTATACTGAATATACTCTACAATAAGCTGAGTTACTAACAGTAATGTATTACTTAATGATATGAGATGTGATATTAAGGTGCTTTACAATTTAGGTAAGCTCCCTGTCAAAGTAAATCCTTAGGACCACAAATTGCACGGCAAACTGACGGCATTCGTAACTTTAAGCGGCATGCATTACTCTCACGAGTTGTTTCACTGAACTGTGTGGAATTTGCTCATTTTTAAACCCTTCTCAATTAACATCCACGCTTTCTGCCAAAAGTGAACAACTTTGAAACATGTCTTGCCGTACTACCTAGAATGCACCGACCCAGTCAGCCTTCAGAAACCGAAATGGATTGAGGTTGGATAGTGTAAATGTTGTGGACTTACGTCCCATCGCACCGATGCGATGAAGTAATTATATAATTAGCACGTTTTGTTCCCGTGACAACCCTAAAGAATTGGCTGTCAAGTGGTGGTGGGTTCACGACACAATATATATGCTTACGTGATTTAACCCAAAAACCTTTATTATGAATTGCGCTATACTATGCTTCTCATCATCATCAATCCATACTAATCAACGTGGTAAAGTATGGTCAGAACATCCCCATCGTACAAACGGTGTGAGGAGGCCATCCTTCAGATATCAATTTACCAAATATTTTGTACTGGTACTTATGCAAATTATACCAATTGAGATAAGTGTTCCGCCAATCAACTGCTCGAGTTAAGTTACTGGAACATTGAACAGATATAACCGTTCACTATTGTACTATTATGTATACAGACATGGATATATGTCATAAATAATCGACAGTTTGACATTATAAACGTATATATAGCTTAAATATACGCTGCCAAGCTTGGTGGTGTTCATTCAGATGCTGTCTTTCCGACAGACCTGTTCTTCACCTGAGGACGGCTTGCTTGCGTTGTGGCCGAAACGTCGTGAGAATTGTATTTTATTATGTTTTATTTTTATTATTTTATTATTTCCCTTCTACGTGACTTACCGAAAGCTTTAAATCGAAATTATAAACGTAATTTAGATAAAAGAGTAAACCGCAGATATTTTTGAAGTGATGGAATTCCAGTAGTCTGCGGCATTAATAGAAAATGAGTGAAAACCACGTGAGTTTTCTTTCTCCTTGGTGCAATTCGCTTTAGTGCTGTGGAGTGTCTAAGATTTAGATGTCTCCGATGTTGGTTGTGGTGGTTGGTTCATAATCCCAGTAGTGCGTGCTGGTGTTTTTTAAGTAGAGGCTGTTGTGGTAGTTGTGGTTCTGTTGGCGTTGTTGTTTTAGAAGAAATGCCTTTGGTCATGGCATTCTTCTTGCTGTTGAGGGTTTGATAGCATTGATGGTTGTGTAATGTTATTGTAGTTGGTTGTGGTGATGGTGTCTCAGTAGAGGATGTTGAAATTCATGCCATCGGTGTTGAGATTGACTTTCACTTCACAGAGGCTCAACGAGTCGACTCTGCCTGGGATGATTATGGTGACGAAGCGGCCCTTTAGGAAGGGGCACGGATAGTCGCGTAATCTTCCCAGAGGCACAAATATGTCTTCAGCGCACCTAGGAGAATTGTAACGGTGCAGCAGATGGGCGCGGGACAGAATGGACTGTTAGACACAGGGAAACCGATACAACGGATCTGTATGCTCTCACATACTCCCATCTCCACCCCGACCAGCCCCTTTTGACCTCTCGACCGACTTGACCTCCTATCCCACAGAGAACCCCACCCACCAACCCACCTACCAGCTCCACCCACCACATCTTCTCCATTTAATAATAATATGTAATCGCATTACAACAGTGTAAACAACAACAAAAAACAGAACCTGGATACAAGTGATTGCCGCAGCCGGTATGGGGGAAAGAGAAATGGAGAGAGGAGAGACGACATACAGCTCAAGTAGAGGCGAAACAAAATTGAATTTCTGGTTTCGGCCGAAACTGAAACCAGACCGAAAGTAAAAAATTGACTTTCGGCCAAAACCGAAGCCGAAACCGAAAGTTTAACTAAACTTTCGACCAAGACCGAAACAGAAAAGTATATAACCGAAGTTACCGAACACAAGATTTATGAAATACTATCTTTACTACCCGGCTTCGCCCGGGACTTGGATTCACCACGGCCGGCCACATTTGTCTCCCCAGTGGCGATGTTGACACACCACACCACTTACTCGTTTGAGGCTGAGTCGACCTAGGGGAGGCCCAGGACCGGTTGAAATAATCGTCACCGGCCGTGAGCGGGAATCGAACTCGGGCCGCCGGGTTCGTACCACAGCGCACGAATCGCTACACAGTCGCTGACCCCCACCCCCCCTGGTGCGTCACGTCATTTATTGACGGCCCCAGACCATGGTTGCGGCTGTAATTTCGCTCGCAAGCTGCTGCTGCTGACGTTTGTGTGTGTATGCAGCCTATCGCATAGGATTGCCTAGCGCGAACTGACCAGCTGATAGACTTAGCACTAGCTTTACATTCTAAAATTAGATCTTCAGTTGACGACCCGAAGTCAATATCAATTTCGGCTGAAACCGAAACCAGACCGAAAGTAAAATATTGACTTTCGGCCGAAACTGAAAGTATGCCGAAAGTGTCCATTTGCCAACTTTCGGCGCCGAAAACCGAAACCGAATTTCCCTCGGCCTCTAAGCTCAAGAGTGAAGGGCAGAAGCAGAGAGTTAGGGTAAAAGTATAAAACCAGGAAACGGTCCTAGGGGAAAACAAGATTGATAAACTCGGGAATCGCGTTTATGTTATTTTAGTTTTGGTTTAATTTGGCTACCTCTCCCCCGTCCCCTTCTGCTTTCTCTCCCTCCCCTGAAAATATTATGTTCCCAATCGTTGTCCCGAGGGTGGTAGGACAGTGAGCCCAAGCGTTTAGAGTGGGTGCGCTGTTATGCGATCATAACCTGTGTTTCCAAATCAGATGATTACGTTGTGTTCATGGGGTCTTGAATAATAAGATAAATACGTAGTCATAGTAGTAGCAGTAAAAAAAAGAAAAACGGGTCAACAAATGGGAGACCACTGCTTCCTATGAACATCACAGACTCTGGTCGAGTGTGGACGCCTCGACAAGTGTGTAACAGTGGGTGGGTCACACAGGGTAAGGGGTATTGTGGCGTAGTGCGTGAGGCATATCCATTAAGCTGGAGAAAGAAGCTCCTGTTTTGGGGCGTGGTCCTTTGTGTGGAGCCAGGAGTCACCACAGCGTGGTCAGACCGGCGTGGGGACAGGTTTTGAGTGTAACACGCCAGCCAGGGGGAGGGAATCTCAGACCATTTATAGTCGGACCTCTCACGTGATTGGCCCAGGGGCTAAACAATGTGCTGAGCAGCACTATAAAAGGCGCACCCGAATCGGCAGGGGGAGCTCAACGCAGAAACTGCAGCAGTGGTGGTGAAGGCAGCATTTCACCATCACCACCACCACCGGGCCCAGTAGTGGCTGGGTGAGCTCCCACCTTCAAGCAGCGACGCGAATGAGGACCAGGGTATTTTCACTGTAAGTAGCAGTTGAGGGCTGTCTACCACTCCACGGAATATATATTTTATAGGGAACCGTTCGGTTACATTATTATTGTTATCTGTTTCCAGCGGCCGACCTGGGGATTGAACAAGGGCGGGTGGGGGACTTCGGGGACGCAGCAAGGGCATGACAGGAGCGGCAGGAGCAGGGAATCAAGTTGGCTGCAGCCTGGCATTGGCCAAGCGTGGAGAATGTTGCCATCTAGTTACCTGGGTGGCTGCTTGGCTGGCTGTGGACATCTCCGACTGCTCGAAGAGGGATAAGCTCGAGGCCAGAGCTGCCCTCTAAGAGGGGTTAGCAGGTGAGGGGTGGAAACCCCTGAGGAGGAACACGGGGCGCTCTGTGAAGCAGAGTTGCGTGTGGGAGAGAACAGGTGTATGACCCCCCCCCCCTCCCCGAAGCTTCTGTGTCTCGAAGGCGTTAGGAACACTAGGTGTGACTGGATGTGTGTGGTGGTTTCTTATTCTTATTGGTTTGATTTTTTATGGTAGCCTGCTGCCAGGCTATAACTCATCTGCTTGGGGTGGTTGGCGTCGGCTCGTGTAAAAATAAAAGCTGACATCACTAACAGCCGGGTCTCTGAGTGGTCCAGCAGCTCGACGCAATACACCCCAACCGTCAGCCCTCCGTGGATAGGCAACGTGACAGGCATAACCACTTCAATTATACGGGAGCTGGATTCGGAGGGGTGAAAAGAAGAAAAATGTTCGCGTTTGTTTTTCTTTGTCAGGTATGTTTTGGTCATATCCCTCGTAATCCCTCCCCCCTCAACAAAAAACAGTTACAATTTCCCCCTTCGGTAGGGGACCCCCTTATATAGTTTGGGTCAGTGATCCCTTTACACCTGCTTTTCATAACCGGTTTGCGCTTAATTTGACGGCGTGTACGCGTGTCACAATGTGACGTATTGGGGCCCGCACATTGCCTTGGTAAAAATAAATAAATAAGTATAACCCGTAAAAACAAAGTTTTTCACTATAAATCCTTTATATGCGTGGCGGCTAGAGTCCTCTCGTCCTCTGGCTTGAGATGGCTGCCACCTATGGGTCAGATGCTTGTCTGCAGTATTAAACAATTGGTAATTAAATATTTAATTTGTTTTCCCTAAACCAGGGGTCGGCAACCAAAATAACAAAAAGAGCCATTTCTTTCCAATTCGGTACAAAATTCAGTATTTCAAGAGCCGCAATGCATCTGAGTACATACTGTACATACGTACATATCGTCAAGAAGCAGCCCGTAAAGAGCCGCATGCGGCTCCGGAGCCGTAGGTTGCCGACCCCTGCCCTAAACAGTGTAAAGTTTTGGAAAATTTTTTTCACGAACATTAATTGTCTCGCACAACGAGTCTGTGTGCAAAATGTCAGCTCGATTGGATCACGGGAAGTGGGTTAAAAAACGACCGAAAGGTTTGCACGGTCGTAAGCAAGCAAGCAAGCACGCAAGCACGCAAGCAAGCAAGCGAACTTAATATAAAGGATTTAAAAAGTGAGCAAGTCACACGCGTGCGCCAAGAGTCCCCCTTGGGACGCATCCACAACTCACAGTGCGTTTCCCTTGCCCCCGTTGGCCTCCGAGTTGCCCACACGGATCTCGGCTCCGAAGAGGCGGAGCCCCTGAGTGTCATTGCGGTTGACGATGCCCACGCTCGAGACTATGTACGAGCGGTCGAGTTGCAGCCGCAGCCAGGGCTCCCACTCCTTGGCCGTCTGGCTGCACGACCCCAGGCAGAAGTTGACGTTGCTCGATGAGTCGAGGACCAGCGAGGCCACCGAACGGGTGTTGGCGTTGCTCGACTGCTGTGCGCTTCCATAGATCACGGGGCCTGTGTGTGTGTGTAGAGGGGAGGGCTGATAATGAGTGTTGCTGCTGTGCGAGCAGAGTGAAGCAACCATGATGGAGGTTTATTTGGGTTGGATCGCGTAAATATATGTTTAGTTAAATACGGCACCACCCGACATACAGCCAATTAGTAAGGTTTATCACGTAAATAAAAGTATCGATTAGTTATTAGTTCAGCACACCTGTTGTGTGTTGAAGAGCAAACCAACAACGTTCACAATTCGAGTACCGGTGACATTTCGCCGGCAATTACAACAGCCTCATCAGGCGACAGACAGAGTTGGGGAGAAATCCTCCTCATGTTTCGGTCTTAAATAAAGGGGGAAGTTTGATGTCATCACTTGTGCCAATCAGGTGCCAAGACCAGAGGGGGGGAGGGGGGATTAATCTCGCCATAAAAATTACAATGGACTGTGGTCGTCCAGAATGAATGCTTTTATTCGAAGCCCCAACATCACACACCTCCTGGAATTACCCCCCCCCCCCACCTATCAGAGGCGGAGGGAACCATTAACAGCCTGCATCTCCTTCATAAAAAAGAAATTAAAGACAAGTGACGTAGGACGATTTTGGCCGTGCAATCCAAACTATGGGCATGTATCGTAAACCCCACTGTGGTATGCGCTCTTAAGCAGATGAGGAACAGGAACACTACACAAACTCTCTCTTGAAACTCTCGTGGCTAACAGATGTCGACATTGGCACATCGCTCGTGAGCGCAATAAATAAAGTAGACTCAAAATGATCCGCGCTCATGATGGTGAGGATAGCTGTGGTTAATTCAACATCGCGGATAATCTAAAAATATCAATTTTACGCGAATATCTATGCAAAAGCCACTAATATAGGTTCAAATTATAGGATGAAGCTGACGATTTCGATTGTTACTGTTTCGATTTAGAACGAATACTGATGACGGACCAGCCGATCGATGTGCGTGCTTCGTGATAACACCTTCCTGCAGAAAATTCCGTCCATTAAGTGAAAAGCAGAGGCAAACCAATCAAACTCTACCCACTGTTGTAAAGCTATGCAACTACTGTACTGTAGAGGCGATCACGTGGTTTGGACTAACCGAATCACATATTTGTCCAGTTTAAGCACGTGACTTGTAATATACATTTCCAAGAATAACAATGTATAACTGTTTTTCGATAATTAATTTATAGCTTAAGGGAAAATCCAGGAGTTAATGTATTTCAAAATCTTAGGTGCGCGGTTATTTTGAAAATCGTATAAACCGCATGCGGATACTGTATAATTAAATCAGACAGGTCAGTAAATTGTGTAAAGAAACTATAAGGCAGTCCTGTGAAAAGTAAAATAAAATGCGAGAGTGAAGTAGCCCAGAGGTCGGTGCACTGGGCTCGAATGTAAGCAGCTGCCTGTAGTAAAAGGGGTTTCAGGTTCGGCTTCAGCTCGTCACCAATTTCTGCATTCACAAATGTCCTTGTTACTCTCCCATATACATCACGATTTGATGCTAAGCTTCTCATTCTTTATAATAACTTGACTTGCAAATAAATTTGACATACATCCTTGTCTGTTTCCATATTAGTACAATAACCATTTGTTTAATATTTATGGCACTGATGTAAATTTGCTATGATTAGTCTATAAATAATCTTCTCGAGCTGATTTTTACTCCAGGGAATGTATTAACTGTGGGATGAGAATCTATCAATTGAGCAAGAAGTCTGGGCTTTCTTCACTTGGTAACCTCTCTGTTAGCTGTGTCTCCGTGTGGGAGGAATATGGATATTTACCGTTGTTTGGCTGGAGCGGAATTGTTGACACCTGGACCTCGCACAGCTGCAGGTTGAGGAAGTTGTCCACCTTGGACACGATGTGTATGAAGCGCGCGGCCTGCCCACTGCAGTTGAAAGTAGCCGTGGTGTTCGCCTTGGCAATACTCAGAGTCTGACAGCTGACAAACACACGAACATAAAATTAAAGACAACCAGTTTCTGTATAATTTATTGCATTGTTCTTATCAGTAGCAAGTGAATGTACAGCCCTTTTTATGAACCCTTTGCTGGATAGAGGTCTCACCACTCCCTAAGGGGGTGCCACGGTGGCGAGATGTAAATTTCCTTGCCTGGTATGCAGGAGGTCGTGGATTTGATCCCGACCCTGACGGCTGTATATTTGGAGTTTGCGTGTTCTAGCTCCACGTGGGTGCATAGATTTAACTCAGAATTCTCCGGTTTTTCCTCCATTATTTGAAAACAAGTGTTTAGAGTATTTGGCTGCTATACTTTTGCACGTGATAAGCCACTTCGTTGAGCGATCATTTGTGGCCAGAAACCATATAGCTCAGTGGGCCTTACTTGGTAGAATAGAAATAGAAAAAAAATATATATAGTGTTCATTGAGGGTCGTTAGACCATATTTCACTACGCTGCTCATTGCGAGGTGGTAATGGGACGATGATGAAGTGACCAACACCAGTTAAAATATTACTCTCCACTTAGTGTTAGCCTTGACTAATAATTAAATTTAGGTCGACAGGCTTATTGTGCAGTGTGTAACCACTAACCACTGCTCTTAACAGTTCATCCAGTAGTCGATAAACAAAGGCTGATGACGACGATGATGATGACGACGACGACGAGACCACTCACAAAATGTTGTCGGCCGCACTGCTGTCATTCAAATTCCCAAGGAGCAGTTGGCTCCGGTTGTATAATTGATAAAAGATGTCACGGAAGGTGATCGTGACTGCATACACGGGCATCCGAACTTTGAGATCCAGGCTCCACCAGGGATGCGCCTCGTAGATAGTGCTCGTGCAAATCCCAATGGAAGACGACATGTTCCCGTCAATGGCCAAGGATGCGTTCGCAGACCGGTAACGGTATGTGCTCGACTGCGTCGCCACTCCATACTGAGCAACATTTTCACCTGGAAAAGATGACACGAGGGACAGGCAAGAAGTGAGGTATACGTGCCTGCCTGCGACGAAGGCCTGTTACAAACATTGTATGGGTGGGGGCGGGGCACTTCTGGAACGGTCTGCAGAGGTTTCCTAAATACCCAGCAAAACTAATTCATAAATAATGAGCAGGTGCAAGTCGTAGCCTCCAGTCCCCCAGTAAGAGAATAGATATTCTGGAACGAACCATGAGGTAATGCTATCTTAGAAGAGGAGACGCCATCGTAGGAGGTGAGAGGCCATGTGCTGTGGGAGGCAGCTGGTATGTGAGAACAACCTGGAAAGTTGTCAGAAGAACCCAGGAGACCTGCTGCCTGGAGAAACTGACAACTTTGGAGATGTCGGTGAACCTTTTGAGTTTGCCGCTCCTGCTGACTTTGACCGGTGTAGATTGATGCCTTGTGCCTCGTCGTCAGCCTTGCACTTGCCTATAACTGCCTGGGGGCCTCTACGGAGATTGGCTAGCTACTCCATGTAACCCATGCCCACTCTTTTTCTGGCTCTTTTTGGCAGTGATCTTTATCGAGCGTAAAGGGGTGGTTCCCATCAAATTTTCTTCTTCTTCTTCTTCTCTTATATATAAAAGTCTCCGTGCGCTCGCGCTTGCGGGGGATTTGGCTCTCGGACGGTGGTGTTTAACACTGAAATAATTTGCCAGGGGGCACGCCCTAAGCCCCGTGGTGGGTATAGGCTATTCCGTTTTCCCGTCAATTAACTTTAAAGTAGTTTAATTAACACATTTGTGCCGTATCTATTATTCATTATTTACTTATTGCACGACATCGACTGTACCAAGTGACGCCAATTACGGGGGGGGGGGGGGGGGCGGACCCTGCCAAGTCATGCGCGTTCGCTCCAGCTCACGGGAGACATTTTCTTTTACGCGTTTTACAGTCAACACGTACACACATGACGCTGCGGATATTTCTTCACGGTGTCATGTCCTCTTTGCCCCCCCCCCCCCCAACACGATGCGTTCAGTTTATATTACAGACTCCGTAGATAATAATATTTTACTGCTTACATAGCATTATTCTTGCACGGGCAGGCGGATGTTGGTGAGGGGGTAGCGGCCCAGCCCCTAGCCTGGCAACGTGCCAACTCCGCGCCGCGCCAATGTAGGCCAGGACGGGGGCTACTCATCGCACAAGGCCTCAACACGCCTATGCTAAGTACACATTTCCTTGCTTCTTACGCTAACAACACAAGTCCATTGTTTATTATTGTTAAACACATTAGTTGACAAACATTACAATAATAATGTTTGTGTGCAGATAAAAACTCAGCTTCATTGTTTACCATTATGAAACAAGTTCACAGATGTTACAATAATTCTGTTTTTGTGAAGATAACTACTCAGGTTCATTGTTTACCATTATGAAACGAGTTGACATGTTACAATAATTATGTTTGTGTACACAAAACTCTTTTTGGATTTTTGGGTTGCTCAATTTCCCCTTTTGATGCGCTTTTATAAGGCTGCCACGGTCTACTGCCAGTCTGTGATTTCTGCTTATTTCTTCAATGCATTTATATTGTTTTCATCGCTCACGTCACGCTATTTACTTATACGTAGTACTGCGATACTGATAGCTGTGCCATCATTGGGGATTGCTGTGCCCGTCGATGTGTGTGTGTGTGTGAGTCCATGTGTGTGTCTTTGAGTCCATATGTGTGTGCGTGTAGAGCCATGCATGTCTTTCACTCCATGTGGGTGTCTTTTTCGAACGGACAACGTAAAAAGTGTTTGTGTGTGTGTTAGTCCATGTGTGTGTGTAAGTCTATACATGTGTGTGTCACTGGATTTGTGTGTGTAAGTCAATGGGTCTGTGTGTTAGTCCATATGTGTGTTAATCCATGTCTGTGTATCTAAAGTAGATATCTGTGTGTCACAGTCCATATGTGTATGTGTGTGTAGGGCTATGTGTGTGTCAGTCTATGTATGTGTAAGTTCATGTGTGTGTGTCTTAGTCCATATGTGTGTGTGTGAGTAAATATGTGTGTTTACGTCAATGTGTATTTTAGTCCACGTATTGCTGTGTGCGAGTCGGCGTGTGTGTATGAGTCGCTGTATATGTGTACGTCCATATATGTGAGTGCAACTCCATGTGTCTATATATCAAGTGGATGTCTGTGTGACAGTCGACATGTGTATGTGTGTGTCACTATGTATGTGTGTGTGCCGCTGTATGTGTGTACGTCGATATGTGTGTAACTCCATGTGTGCGTTTCTCAAGTACATGTCTATGTAAGTGCGAGTCCATATGTGTGTGTGTCTGTAAGTTGATGTGTTTGTGTGTCTCAGTCCATGTGCGTGTGTGTTAGTCGCTGTGTGTGCATGCCTCCATGTTAGTCAGTGTAACTTCATTTATTTGCGTGTCTGTAGGTCCATGTGTGCATCTTAGTCCATGCGTGTGCTTTATTGACCTGCTCAAGGCCTATGATACCATCAGTAGGCCTGGCCTCTGGGTTGCTCTTCGTGCTTTCCGAGTCCAGAACCCACTCATCACCATCCTTAAGGACCTTCATGATGGTGAGCGGCCCCGCGTCTTAACTACGTGGCCGTGAGTCAGAGCAATTCCCTTTACACCTTGGGGTGCAACAGGGATGTCCTCTGGCTCCCACATTGGACCACGTAGTTCGTCGAGCCTTCAATGACTGTACCGGAAGAATTCCCATCTGCTACAGATACAATGGGAGGCTGATCGATGCCCGGGTGCGGTCAAAGGGATGGCTCCCTATTGCTCAACCACGTTATGTATGCCGATGATCTGCTAATGGCTGCTCACCCGGAGGACGAGTTCCAGGTGCTGCTGTTGAACCTGGAGCTTGCCACCAACAGGTGGGGCCTTACCATCAGCCTAACCAAAGCTAAGCACCTGCCTGGCTATTTTGTACCATCGGACACTCCACCCCCACAACTCCCAATTGGTGATGGGCCAGTTGTGGAGACAGTGGAGAGTTTCCCTGGGCAGTGTGCTAATGACCGGCTCCGGTTTAACAGCAGAGGTCTCACTCCGAATCAGTCGCGCTGCAGTATCTTTTCATTGGCTGCGTAACGCTGTGTGGAAGCTACCTGGTCTATCACTCCGTACGAAGCTTCAGGTGTTCTCGGCCACGGTCATTCCCTCCCTTCTCTACGCTTGCGAAACTTGGACACCCCTAATGGAACATTTTCGCCGGTTAGAAACATTTAGGATGGCCTGCCTACGATCCATCCTGGGTTTAACCAGGCTGCATTGTTTGAGGAGCTCACAAATCCTTGAAAGATATGGACAAAGTCCCATCGCTTAGGCTCCTCCGGCAGGTAAGGCTGCGTTGCCTGAGTCGTGGAGCCCGCATGGCCAGCCACCGTATGCCTTAACAGCTTTTGTTCGGCCGGATCGAGGGGGCTAAACGGTTGCGGCACGGGCTAGAGAAGACATTGGGAAATGTGGTACAGGAGGACGTGGAGCTGAGTCGACTTGCCGATGACTGGTACCAGCCATGTCAAGATCGGCGTCTGTGGAGGAGGCTCCTGAAGGACGCTACAGGGCAGTTGGAGGCAGTCGCCCTCCAACAACAATGGAGGGCGGAGAAGCGATGCTCACAACAACGAGCGGAGCGCTGGGTGCCTAAAGCACAGCAAGTTGCCACAGTAGGGGGCACAGGTGGTGCATCAGCCAGTCGTCTCAGTCAGTCGACCTGTGCCATCTGGGTCTGCCCCGTGACCTGCCAGTGGGCGTTCGACACTTCACGTGGCCTCAATGTGCACATAGCCTGGCACAAGTGGTTGTTGTTGTTTCATCAATGTATGTATGTGTGAGTGCATTTGTGTATGTAACTTTATGTGTGTGTGTGAGTTCATTTGTGTGTGTCACTGCATGTGTGTCTGCCTTCTTCGCCCGGGCAACGCCAGGTACTTACCGCTAGTACATTATATTTTTGGTAGTTCCAAGTTCAACGATGCTGCTTCAAGTCCAATACAACCTGTGTTGGAGAGAGTTTGGGGCCTCGCCCAGGCAGAGATCCAAATGTAACTTAATGAGTCTAAGTTCAACATCACACCCAATGCAGGAGAGAGTGCGCCGTGCACTTTGCTCAAGCAGAGTTCGCAGTGGCGATCGATGTGCGACCCATTTTAAGGTACCAAGATCAGTGGTTTCGAGAAGACAGTCGTACTATCGGCATCTGGGAGTGAACCATATTAGCGTTCAGTATCTGTGATTTTTGATTGTCATATTTTGTGTCGCGTGTTTCGGTTCATTGTTTTTTGTTGCGTTATTAAATTTTCGTGGTTGCTAAGTGAGGAGTCGGCTTGGGGTTTTCATGAGTGGGGTGGTTCATCTTATGGGCCTGGTGAGCAGACGGGCCCCTCATTTGAGGAAAGAGTTTTCGGGCTCGGATGGACCAGCCCTCACGCCTACCTCTCGTCTAACACTACTCTCCTCCACGCATACTGCTACCTTCTCTCTCATTTTACCCCTCCCCCCAACATGTGCTCTCCTACCTCTAATCTCACTTTACGCACCATCTCTACACAGCAGTATCAATAGGTTCACCACAGTTAGTGTAACATTAGCATGGTGCGTGTGGTGGGGTAAATTGTAGTTGTTCCCATCTCCAAGACGTTTGGGCAGTGTGGAAGAGTAGCTCAAATAACATTTGAAAAGGGCTCTCTTGAGCTTCATCTAAGGGGAGGCCATTTCACCAACCGTGGCATGAGCAGGGCTGCTCCTTTACCTTCACATCTATTTGACACCATTAGCAAGCGAAGTTTTTTTTTACACCATGAGCTAGTTCTGTTCGACACCGTTAGCGAGTGAAGTTCTTTGAGTCTCAGCCCTCTTCCTGCACCGGGATGTGCGGCCAATGTATTTTAAGGGGTGTTTTGTTTATCA